ACGGTTGTCGCGACGAGCAGGGCGTACTCGGTCTCCGTCACCTTCAGGTCCCCCATGCTTCTGTAGAAGTAAAACAGCGCGGTAATGAACTCCTCGGTTATACCTTAAAAACGGAACGAAACAACCAGAATGTCACTGCCGCGCAGAAACAGGCCCCGCTCTCGCAGCCCCTCTCCGTCCTCGTCTTGGACGGCTCCGGGCTGTTCCTTGCATGACACAGTTGGCAAACTTGGTGAAAACCGTAATTCCTGATGCAGTAACAACGGTTGTCCTGTGGAGCTTTGGGGACTTCCAGCCCAAAGCTCGTCCCGAGGCTCTCGGCCCACGCGAGCGCCGTCTCCTCCGCCCCTGGGGCCGCGACGCCCGCATGTCCCGTGCCGAGGGAGCGATGAGCAGGAGCAGTGGGCGCAGCAGCAGCCTCACGCAGCGTGACTGCCAGCAGGGCCGGCGAAACAAGAGCTTCCCACGGATTCTGAATCTCCCTCACCTGTGGTAGTAGTGGAAGTTGGACTCTCTTCGTTGTGAGACATTTCCATGGAATAAATGTCACTTCTATCAAGGTTTTGAAGGTGACATGTCCCGTGATCAGAAAGCCTTACGTGGCCTGGAATGAGAGATGAGAGTTCCCAGCCAGGATTGATGCGACTTTGCAGATAAATACCTGAACATGTGAGAATTTTTCACAGATCCGTGAAGGTAGGAAAAGTGTTCATTGTTGGCCTCCAACCCCAAGTTCATTTGTTGCATTACTGTAGGTCAGTCTCTTGTGTGAAACGACACAGTCTCTAACATGGCATTAATACAGCTAATATCCACCCACTCCACAACTTGGGCAAACACTCAAAACCATTGCTCTTTGGAACGAGTGGGAGGAAAACAAAGATCAAATTAATTTTAACTTGGTATAATGCTCTTTGAGGCGGGGAGAAGCCTATAGAAGCTGTGTGGGCATTACCAGTACTGCTTGAATAGGAGACTGTTGGCAATTAAGGGCATTAAAATGAAGGGAAGTTGTTTCAAAGCGGCAGAACCTCCTACTGGTGTTGACAGAAAGCTTGTTAGTTAAACTTACTGTCACTCGCCGACGGCTGCCATTCGCTAATTCTTTGGTTATATATTTGGGCTGAACGCAAAAACATTGCCTCAACTGTTGACCCTTTTAGCAGCGCAATCTGATCTTCACTAGCCAAACTTTCAAACCCTGCAGAGAAAGACACATGTGAAGAATCGCGGGAGGCTGTGGCTATCTTTAAGCCCCTAACATGAGTCGCTAAAATGGTTTTTGAAATAAATGCTTGTCCTGGAAAGGAGGAGCCGCAGTTACAAGATGCATGTACCCAGGACTATTGGGATCTTTCTTGCGAGTTTGCAAGACAGACAATAAAACAGTGCAGTTGTCAGTGCCCAGTGTTAGAAGACTCACAGGAAGATGCAAGTAATAATTTGGGGGCTAAGCAAGACTTAGTCCAGCAAACTGGACTGGATTTCAAATAATGTGTTAAAATAATAATTGACTCAAGATGGTATTTTAAAGTCCACATACTTTCAGAAAGTGTCTTTATTCCATGTCAGAAATGGAAAAGAAATCTAATAGCAAGCTTTTGTGATGGATGCTTTGTTACTTGTCCTCATGACAAGTAAACAGTAACACTGCATTGGAAGATAATACAGTCAGTGGAATAAGAATTTCCTTAAAGTCTGTATTTTTCTGGGATTTACGCCATGAGTGTGGTTCTTGTCTCTCACTACAAGAGTCACACTGTTCTGTAACAATTCCCAGGAGAAGGAACTTACCTGGAAGTCTCTTTGTGAAATCCACTAACACTTGTACATGGACAACTGCTGTCTCAGAGAGACGGAGAAAACTTTCCTCAGGACTTGCAGTTTCTTGCAGCTGCATAAAGAGCATTTAGACATCTGACATAACCAAGACACAGTGCTTAGGACAATAATGTAGCAATGCGGGCTGAAGTTCTGTATACGTACAAACTTCTTCGCTTCCTCAAGGGGAATTGTGTATTTTTGGTGTGCTGCTACGATGTGGTCAAGAAGCTCATGTTCCCCTGGAGTAAGTTCCATCTTCTCTGGGCTCTGTTAAAAAAATGAACCACAGAAGTGACAATGGCTTGGGCAAAAATAAATGATAAAATGAGATATTTGAAATAGAAAGATATCCTACTTTTCCAGATCTTGTTGTAGATGATACGTGCTTACTAGTCAGTCCCTCATCTTCCAGTTTTATGTTGCAAAGAAAACTGCTTTTCTGTTTGAAATTCTTCCTGAGTCTCTTTGACTTGCACTGTACTTCAGTCAGCAAACCTGCAAGGCATAGAAGTGTGTATCAATACGTATATTTTCAAACTACAACTTGAAATACTTTGGTTACTATAGATAACTCAAGTCTTGCATCACAGCAGCCGTCACCTATACGAACTATGCTTCCTAGAGCATCTGGCAATGAGTTACTCGCTAGGCGAGTTAGCGTTCGGTATCCACCGAAGTCCCAAGTGTTTGCAGTCTTGCGTTCCCTTGCTTGTGGTGCTGTGACATACAAGCGTGAGAGTTTTCATGAAAAACTATTGTGCAGTTTTTAATTTCTTTGTTTTCCCAACACAAAAGCACTCTGCGATGCTTAGTGCTGGCCTGTTGAGGCTCAGGATATTTAGCTGCCACTTTTAAGTCCTTTTTTCCCCTTATAACGTCTTTGAACAGCAGTCCTCTTCCCTTCAGGAGGTACTTCCCAAGCGTTGGGCATTTCTGCAGATGAAGGTGCTGCAGACTCCAAGCTAAATGAAGTTCAGACCACTGCCATTTAGCTCTAATGAGGAGAAGGGACTGACCTTGGAAAAGGCTTTTTATGAGTTGATTAATAAAGGAGCCAGCATGGGAGGAGCACTTACATTCTGCTAGCATTCCCACAGCTTTGCACTTCTTCAGGCGACATTCCTGACACTTCCTCCGCATGTACATGTCCATTTCGCAGTGACCGCCGTTCTTGCACTGGTAGACTGCGTTTTTGGTGATGCTGCGTCGAAAGAAGCCTACGGACAAGGATCACGTTATGACTGAAGGAATCTTAAGGAGCTTTATCTCATAAGGATTAACGTGTCTTCTGGGGTTTTTTTTGTTTGGTTGGGTTTTTTTTACAATGAAAACATTGCCTTGATTTTAAATTTGCCTTTTTAACAACATAATTATGTCTTGTTCTTTCTGACTAATATTAATTGCTGCTTTTCTTATTTGATCAAGATAACGCCAACATAGTAAGTTAAAGTATCAGTAGCATGTGATTGTTACTTGGTTTTATTTAATCTTAATAGTAAGTAAAATTAATAACATTGAATTACATCTATAACAATTGGTCATGAGAAACTCAGCACCTGCTTAAACAGATGCTATTCTAATGAATAATTATTGCAAAGATTAGTTGCATGAAGTGCTCATGCTGAATCTGTGCTGCAAAGCATTTCTTAAAAACATGCTGTAAGCACATGAATCTGGAGGAAGCGCGTTAGGTGAAGGGTGCCTTAGATAAATCACAGCCCTCTCGAAATGTCAGCTGAAGAACCAATGAAGTCTGTTTGCTTAAATCGCAGATGCGGAATGTTATGTTGAGCACTGCGGGGCCTCACTCCTGAGTGAGATACAGCGCAGCCTGTTCTCTTACCTTTACAGCCTTCACAGGTAAGTGCGTTGTAGTGATAGCCTGAGGCCTTGTCACCGCACACGACACACACCTCCTCCTGTCCCTTCAGTCTCAAAGACGAGTGGTTTAATCTTGACCGTTTCAGCCCTTGGTATCCACCGTCATCCATGTGGGGAGCCATGAAAGGGGGTTTGCTGAGTTCACAGCTGCTGATGATACACTGCCCGTCGCCGTACTGAGAGTCCAGGCCGTATGTGCTGTACTGGGGCTGAGACGGCTGTGACTGTAATACTGGAGGAGGAATTTGAACTGCTGAGTACTGGCAGTAAGGTGCAGTCTGAAAATCGGTGTCTTGCAGCTGATAGTTGATGTGCTCCGGCAAAACATCTAGATAGAGGAGGAATTGAAATACAATTCTGGAAAAGATCTCAACATCAGCTACTTGAAAATTCCGAAGGACAGTCTGACACACTCTTTTTTAATGTGCTACCTCTCATGTTTTTAAGCAAAATCTTAACGTATTGCAGGTGGCTTGGGAAGAGTTTGGGCAATGGCATGTGGTTGCCACTGGATTCCTGTCACTATGTAGTTGAATAACACTTGCCAGCTGATGGGAGAGCTGCCTTTTGATTTTACACTTAAAGGTTGTTCTTATTAGTTGCCCGCATTACAGATGAATATTTTCCCTTAAGCAAATAGGTTTGTCAGTGGGTGAATGATACATATTTCAGGCATAAGTTTGAAGATGTCGCACAACAACAGTCTGAGAAAGATGGTCCAGAAATTACAGAGTGGTAAAAATTACTGCCACGGGAGTCTTAAAGTTGAAATTCAGTAGAGTAAAAAGCAGAGGCTTGTTTTATTTAGTATTTTTCCATATATAATCCTTCACATTTAAGAAATTTCATTTTTGCAGAATGTATGTACAGAATTATGAAGAGAGCTTCTGCCTGCTGTTCTGTCTGCAGAGTTTTAATTTTATCCACACTCCCCCCCTTAAATATGCACAGCTGTACTCAGGAAAGCTCATGCAACATGCATCATGCTTCATTCTTCCTTTGGGGTTGTTCAAATCTCTGTAAAAACAATTTGGAATGTTTTCTAGAAGTAGTTTTGAGGTCTTTTTAATGGGCTTTGGGTCCTGCTTTTATTCATCCAGAATCAAATTAGTTGTTGCAGTTAGGGTTCTATAAGCTGTAGAATAGCCCTTATTTAGCTATAATGTGTCTGGAATACGGTAATAAAACCTGTATCTCCCTCATGCAAGTCGAAGGGAGACAGCACCAGTAATGTTTACATGAACTGATGAGTCAGCATAGCCACACTGTGCATAACTGTGTGTCAGCATGGGCATGAGTGTCTTTCAATGCCATCTCAGTATGGGCTCGACAGTCAGATGGGTAGCTTCTAAGCACTTGTAAACACAGAGTAAAATGAAGGAAATAAGGGGAATTTCCACAGGGGTTGGGTTTACTATGCTGCTTTTTCAGAACAGAACAATTTTGCTGTACTCACCATAATACTGTATGGGCTCAGGAAGACAGTACCCGTCGGGTACCGTGGCAAATGTGTTGGCCATATTCTGATCCCAGCTACACTGTTTCATTCACCAGGCTGTGTGACAGACTTCTAAGAAGGCTACCTAGAGAAACGGGAAAGTAAGGAGCACCACGTGAGAAAGCCTTGCTGAGTGGGTTCAGCTACAGAGCTAAACCCAGCAAACTCAGGGTGTAAGAACAGTTTGCAGATCATAAGAACCAGAGGTATGTGCAGTCACATAATACTTTCCATGAGGTTGCAAAACATTTGATTGTCCTAATAGCACAGATTCATGATAGATCCCATTCCTAAATTTCCAAGTTATATTTAGAACTGGTTTGCTCCTAGTCCTACATGAAAGCGTGTGGGGGAACCAGATCAATAATTGGTAAATTAGTTCAGTAAGAGATTAAAAGGAGCTTCACGGCATAGAAAAAACTAGCCTTCAGTAGGAGTTAGGGCATTTGCACTAGTGTGGATGTGGTGGATGTTCTGTTTCTGCACAAAGATGGGCTCTTAATGAATTGGCTTCGTTCACCTTTAATGCAAATTTGAAGCAAGTACATATAGGAAAATACCCTGGAAAGGCCAGCACAGAACCTCTCTTCCTCCCCATGTAAATACTCTTATGCAGTAGAAGTCGGCTTTGCCCCATTTAAGCACTGCCTAATTTACACTAGGTTCCAAATTTAAAAGCCTATTTTGCTTTAAGAGTACAAAGCATCCTGTGGAGACCAAAAACAATCGATTTCATATGGGCTATATTGGCCTGTAGAGAGCTTTTCTCTGTCCCTTGACTATCAAAGGAGCCTGGGCTCCTGGCTGGATGCTCTGATGTTCACCATAACAAAGTGTACTGAGAGCTCACTGTGACAAAGTGAGTGCAGAATAGCGACTGTGCTTTGGGTTCAAAACTTACCTTATTTTTCAGTAATTTGGCTTTATAGAGAGGTCCTGAACAAGTGTGTTCTAAAAACTGTCAAGGAGTTTTAGAAAAAAGGGGATGTCTGTATGGACACTGGCACCGGCTGGGTTTTTGTTTTCATATGTGTACAGACAATTTTGGGTAGTGCTTAGCAAGTAGTGGTAATGGAGTAGCCATTGGAGAAGGAAGTAGAAAATGCCTTCCTTGCCCCCTTGTCCCTCTGCACATGTGAAATGTGTGAGAGTGTCGCTCATTAAAAGCATGTTGTGTCTGATGCTCCCTGGGTAAGGACTTTGCAAGACAATTTGCCAGTCAGCAATTCATAGGCTTTCCCTGAGCAGACGGGAAAGACAGAAAAAAGGAAAAAGGCAGGTAAGTATTTAAGAAGTAGAGAAAATCAAATTACTATGTGTAACAGGATTCTCTGCATCTGCCTCTTGCAGAATTTACAGCAAATTCGGTTTAAAGATCTTCCTTGAAAAATTCCTGTTGGGTTTTGTGCAATATGTGTACCTTGCTACAGCTGACAAAATGAATGTATCATTTTGGGAAATCTGAACAAAGCTATGCTTTGGAAGACACCCATCCCTTCCCCCAGAACTGGATGTCTTTGGGACTGAACACTTTCTCTCTGTGCTGTCAGCAGAAGGTGAAAGGATGGAGTGAGGCTGGAATGCTGAATTTTGTTATCTCTGCTAGTAAATATTTGTTTGAAAGAGAAGTGACTCACTGAATCGTGAGGGCCTTATCTGTGAGATCTATTTGGCCTGGGCAAAGTCTAAATCTTTCCCCCAAAAGGTGTATTTGCTGAAGAAATGTGTTTCTGAATTTCAGTAGTTTCTTTAAATAATAAAATAAAATAAGCTAAAATAAAATTATACTGGTCCAGTCTGATAAAAATATTATATTGGGAACATGAAATATATGTGGCCAAATGCAAGGTGGTCAGCTTAATAAAGATCCTAAATCTTGGACACTAGGCAAAGTTTCTTCAGTTTAGGTATTGTCTGAGAATGGATTTGAGGATTTAGCCCTTCTTACTGATTTTTGTGGCTAATAAAAGTTATCAGTTGCACCCACAGAATTCCCAGCTCAGAAGGAGACTTTGTAAATTGAAACCCTTAAATTAATTGAAACTCTTGAATTAATGTTAAACAGTAATAAATAGTAAATCCAGTGGTTATCTGAGGAATGCCACCCTGTCTTCCAACGAGACTTAATGGTCAGGTCTGTGTATGAATGTTAATTGTTTTATTTTCTGCCACTTGAGAATTTAGCGTTACCAAGCTTGTTCTTCCGAGGTAAAATAGCACTGGGCTTTTTAAAACCAAAAGTATAGAGGACAGAATAAGATATGTAAGGAAGGAACTTAATTTTCTAGGACAGGAAAGTTTTGACCATTGATAAGATTGTCACAGTCCGGCGTTTGCTTCACCCGTTACATGAGCCAGTCAGCACTAGGGAACCTCCGGACTTGAGGAGCTGCCGAAATTGCGTGATGCATTATACGCTGCTCCCTCCAAAGTTCAGTAGCTATCCCGAACCTCTCACCCTCACTGGGAGTGAACCGTGACCCAAGGGACTCTTCTTCAGCCCACATAGACATTCGTTAACCTTTGGCCATGCGGGCAAGTCAGTCCTGCGTGCGCACAAGGCTTAGCCGCACGCTCTGAGGCTGTGGAGCCCTTGACGGAGCGCAGCACATGCCCCGTTGTCGTTTTCAAAGTGTAGTATCTTGGACAGAGTTGAAATGAGATTGCAGAAAGAGCCATTCCCAAACCAGACTGGTTTGTGCCCTTTTTCCTGTTCTCTGTGTGCTCAAAGATAGCCACACGTTTCGTGTAGGTGTGCATTAGAAAGGGACAAAAAAATACATTCCCAGAGATGATGCATAAAGGTCTCTAGCCTCAAAAGTGGAAGTAACTGAGAACAAAAGAAAATGAATTTGTACTAGCTTGTTTTGTAGAATCACAAGCAGTAGTAGCGCGGCAGCGATGTTAGTAGCATGGTGATGTTTGTTAGTGGCGCGGTGGTGGTGTTAGTAGCACAGTGATGTTTGTTAGTAGCACAGTGATGTTTGTTAGTAGCACAGTGATGTTTGTTAGTGGCGCGGCGGTGGTGTTAGTAGCACAGCGGTGCTGACTTCGGATGAAAGTCTTCAGTGTTCAGTCAGACACGCGGCCTGCAGAGATGTTGCTGCACAAAGGCACATGCTGTTCCCTGATTTCCCTTCTCAGTTACTTCTGAGCTGCTGTTTCTGCTGGGCATTTTCATGTGTGAAATCCTGATCACTGGGGGGCAGGGGGGGCAAAGGGGCTGTTTTTAATTTTAAAAGCCACTACAAGCAGGACTTTTTTTCCCCAGAAGATGTGACCTGGAGTCTACGTTAAGCACGTTTGAAAACGTTGTGGTTTTACAGGCTTAGTTCTGATAGTAATCGGTCTTCTGAACTAATCACGTTCAGCATGGACTGGAGTGTAGGTTGGTTATCCATCTAACACAGAAATTAAGCAACATTCAGTTATTAGCCCTCACTGTAATACTTTTGAATTTATCAAAGATGGAAGCCATTAAAGAAAAAAAAATCATTAATTGATAAAAGTGAAGTAGAATCACAAACCAGTCACTTAACAGAAGGTACACGTTCAGACTAGAACACACGTACCTCTATTATTATTATTTATGGTGAAATATGTTGGTTTAATAATTTTTGTTGTTATAAAATACTTTATCATAAATAACATATCCTCAATTTATGTTATTAAATAGATTAAGATGTAAACCATCCCTCTTGTAGAAGAGGCTCCAGGGAGCCCTTCAAGAGGTATGTATGGACAGTACTTTAACTGCTAGTGTAAATATTTTGACAGTTGAGTCATAGGGGAATTTTTTGTTTACAAGGAATTTTAGGAACTCAAGCTGAAGGTCTTCAACATTTATTTAACACACCTTGTGGCACGTTAATGATCACGCAGGGAACTAGATAGCACATTTCAATCTAAGTGTTAATCACTGTACTTTTTTATGCTTCTGGAAAGCATAGCTTAATTTTTTAATCAATGGAACTTGAACCAAAAACTGAAAAAAAATTCAACTGAGCATAATTGGAGGCAACAGCATGCGATGCCAGGTGATCTCTTTGGTTTCACTCAAGCGATTCAGGAATCACCAATTGCTGTTATTAAAGAATGATTGATTTTGCAGGGGAAGCTGTAGGACCACTTGAACGATCCCATATGCCGCTTATGTGCATCACTAAGGTTTTATCTGTTGCTCTCGGGTTTAATGTGCCAAGAAGCTCCCCAAGGCTGCTGCTTGAAGAAATGTGTTCCCTCCTTGTCATGCAGTGACCGTATTAGCAATTGGCTTATTTCACTAATGGGCTGTGTTACAATTATCTTGAAATCTTCCTTTGGAATTCTTACCCCATGAATAATTATTTCAAAGGTATAATTCTTATACATTGTAAAATAAGAAGGTAGAGGTGGTTTGAGACTTAGTTTTCCAGGTACTTTGGGGAAGGGAAACAATCGAATTTCAAAGTCATTTTACTTCATTCTGTGTGTCAAATGATGTCCTGTTGGGACAAATGCTTGGCAATAGGACACCAAATGTAAAAGAGCATGTTTCCTATTTTCATTTAGTCAGACATTTAAAAAAGAAGAAAGAAAAATAAAAAGGAAACAGAAGAAAAAAGTCCAATGCCTGAAATATTTTCACATGGCAAATTGATTTATGGCTAGAGCAACAATTTATAATCCCAGAGCATTCAGAGATGTAAATGAAATACTTACAGTAGTTCCAGAGAGTTTCTTGCCTCCAGAGTGGAGTCTGCTGGGCTGTAGCGCTGATCCTAGCTCTGAGTCCAGCTGGAGCAAACCGGGCCTTTTCCCTATTTATCAGTTTCTGTGCATACACGGGGCTCCAGACACTCCGCAGAGCAATGCTGCGGCTCTGAGACACAAACTTCCCACACAGCCTTTTCTGGGGTCGAAGCAAGGGCAGCTGCAAGTCCACATAAATCAAATAATAACTGGGTCATTGGGGACAGAGGCCATGGGGACCCTCACGTCACTTTTTCCCAGAGTTCTCCCTGTCCAATTACTAAATACTCTGCTTTCCTGGTAGAATTTAAAATTCTC